AGCAGGTGACATAGCGAGCAAGGGATTTGAACCTCAAGGCCTTTCCGCTTTGATAGATTATCAAAGAGAAGCACAATGCAAAGAAAATTGGAATCAGGTAAGCACGTGCTATTCCTCAGCTTAAACTCCTTGGGCGTTTTTTCCGCAATGATGTTACTTTCAACTGTAGTGTAAAAACATATATATATATATATATATATATATATATATATATATATATATATATATAAAGAGAGAGAGAGAGAGAGAGATTGTTCAAATGAATCTTCTGAAGAATTTAATTCCATCCAAATATGTGAAATAAGTATTAATTATAAATGTGTTATCTTTGTTTTCATAAAGTATTTCATATCCAGAAAAACTTGTTATTTATTTAAATACGTATTTGCTTTCTAATTGACCTATCACTGCTGTTTGCAATTTTTAAGTACGTAGACACTAAATTACTGAATGTGACATTTGACAAAATTTTTTAAAGCATGTGATCCGTTGTGACGAAATAGGGGTCTGTGTTACATAGAGTCCACCCTCCATTTAATTACACAGGTTAGGGTTAGCCTGGCGTAATGGGGTCAAAATGGGGCGAGACTTACCTTTGCAAAACTAATGGGAACCACATTTTCATGGAGGACTTTCTGTCACATAACACCTGTTGGCCAAATGATCACACATAACCATCTTGCTCCTAAATCATTTGGATTTTATTTTCAGGACACCTGTAAGCAGACTGAAGAATGTCAAGTGGATGAAAAGTGGTGCTCTCTGCCCCTTGATTTCATCATGAACTTGAAATTCAACTTGACTTTTAAACTGAGTCCGAAACAACCCGTTAAAAGTCCATGTGAACTAATGCCACTCTGTCTCATTGACCACACGATTTTTGGAGAGGTAGATTTATCTCACTTTTCACCACGTGGCGCGTGGAAGACCAAAACAGAGGGAGGATTTCGTGATGGGTGGTGCTCCCTACCCTTTAATGAGAGAGAGAACATGATGGTTACAGTACCAATTACGCTCAAGCAGAGCGTCCGTCGTGTGCGTGATGCTAACCAATTGTTTGAGGACTTCCTGGATCAAGTTGAAGCTTTTATAAAGAATTCTCACCGTCAGATTTCTTACAAAGGAATAGATTTTGACGTCAGTGTCGTGAGAAACGGAAGTTCCTCTGCAGATACCCCATCTGGAAGACGGAATCCCGATCGCCCCTTATCTTCTCTTTCTGGAGCCCAATACAATCAAATGTTATTGCAGGCTTTGATAGCAATTATCATTACTTACATTTAAAATGTAAGATTGTCTTATCAAAAATTCATTTCCATGGAAGTATTTGAGGGCTAAAATGAGATACAGATTTAAGATCTATAGGTTTTAGCATCAAGGGGTAATAGGAATTTGGAAGACCTTTCATCCCCCTTGAACTGTGTTCCTCTTAACGTAGATAGTAGACAGTGGCTTAAAAGTTGCATGAAAAAGAATTTGATTTCTAAAGCACTTACAGAATATTACTGGGTCAAACACATATAAATACATGAAAGCTTGTCATGATGCGTTTTCCCATGCTGACCTCTTGCAATAAAGACAATCAGTAGTTGAGATCAGTATGTCGCAGGTGCAATGTCTGCATGAAAATATATTATAATTTTAAACAATGAAATAATGGCAAGATGGTGGTTTAATATGTTTGTGATAATGAAGCTTAATAAATAGCGAGCAAATTAAGAAGAGCATAGAAGCAACGTCTCTGACAATTTCGGGAATATTGGTGTTAGGACATGTGCGTAGATTTTTCGATGTAAACGTAAATGGAATAGTAAGGAGATGATTTTCGTAAATATTGTATTGACATAGCTATCACTTTCTTTATTTCTTGCAAAACTTTCACTTGCAGAATACACCGGGGATTTACTGGTAGTGTGAATAAAGGGCATTCCACGTAATATTAATCGTAATTTATTTGTAAATTTTACTGTAACAAAATACACAAAAGTTCAATGGATTGAATTCAGAGTTCGTAGACAATACACTTGACAAGTGTTGTATGCAGATGTGCCACAAAAACATTTATTATAACAAAGTTGACATATTGACTCTTGATTAGACTATAATAGAGAGACTGAATTCAAACCAATGTTTTTTGTACATACCAATCATTTATCATTTTTACTCAAAAGCCCAGTGCATTCTCAGAGAGAGTTTTCAAATATTGGGTCAAATGTTTCCTTTCCAAAACTATGTTTGTGACATATGAATATATTTTAAAATGAAACCAAAGAATTGGTTTTCTTTTCACATATAGACTTTTTTGTCTGAATATTTCATTCTTGTTATATATGTCCATTTGTGTGATGTTTGTGTGACCTTATTTCAATCAAAACACTGATTTTTGTTACTTTCACACAGTTATAATAGGAACACACTCCCATGCTGACCTATTGTAATAAAGACAATCAGTAGTTGAGATCAGTATGACACAGGTGCAATGTCTGCATGAAAATATATCATAATTTTAAACAATGGAATAATGGCAAGATGGTGGTTTAATATGTTTGTGATAATGAAGCTTAATAAGTAGCGAGCAAATTAAAAAGAACATAGAAGCAACGTCTTTGACAATTTTGGAAATATTGGTGTTAGGACAGATGCGTAGATTTTTCGATGTAAACGTAATAGTAAGGAAATGACTTTCGTAAATGTTTTATTGACATGACTATCACTTTCTTTACTTCTTGTAAAACGTCCATTTGCAGAATACACCGGGGAGTGTATTTTTGAGTGCATTGAGTAATAGTCATATATACTCTTAATCATGCGTGGCTAAAACACAACACATGCCTAGTACGTGAAGCTAGTACGTGTCAGATTTGAAAAATAGACAAAAGCATGAAGCCCACTTCGGCTGACACTAAATTTACTACATGCAGATGAATTTTTTTTGCAGGTCTTATTAACATTTTCACATTTCTGATTGAAATCAGAGCTGTCGTGTTCAGTGACGTGACGGTGTTTAAGGCTCAATAATTGAAGTTGCTTCCTCAAGTTTTCATACGGAAATTCTTTAAAAAGGTTAGATAACATATCCTTGCTTTTTGCTGCAAATGAGTTATAGCAATAGCAATACACTACACTGAAAAACTAGCCAGGCTGATGAAAGCCCAAGGCGCGCCTCTAGATCCGAACGCGTTTGGAACTCCTCATTCTAGCATTTCCAGCTAGCTGATGCCTTTGTAAAGGGTTGATGCATTAACCTGGGCCGATAAAAAAATATCCTGGGTCGGATTTACTAATGACGTAATGGTGCCACGCGGATTCTCGCGTTCATTCGAGACCAATATAACATGGCGGGAACCCCTCAGACGTAAGTTGCGAGTTTTTGTACAGTGCGTCGGATAACGAAAAGCCCAGAATGGCACACATTGCGGATATAAATGCATTTTTAACAAAAAGACGAATATATCTCATGAATCTTATATAGTGTTGTTGTTGTCTGCTTTTCCCGCGGTTTTAAGTAGGTCACCAGTGACTTTGCAATGTCAGAGAGAGCTCCGTCAGTTAAAATCTCTTAAGAGATTTTAACAAAAAACCGTACGTTTAGGAAAAAAACCCTGGATTAACTTTGAATGCAGGAATGGGGTCGTTGGCCATTGGTAAGTACGGGAAAATTGCCGTTTTTTCCAGGAAAATCCAATTTTTGGCCAAAACGAAGAGTTATTATGACTTTAACCAAGAAGTGACCACAACACAACGTCTATATATATATATATATATATATATAATAGCTTTGTTACATGACCAAGAATAAAGAAAAATGAAAATAATTACGACACATTGAGAACTTATAAATGAGGAATCCATGGCTCATGCAGTGTACTTGGAGCTCCAACATGGAGTAAGCTGACTAGGAGGACAACTCAATATGGGGGCGTCTCGATAGTCCGAAGGTTCATTGGTCCGAAGGTTCATTGGTCCGAAAAGTGGTAACATTTTTATCGATTTTTTAATCAAGGGTTCATTGGTCCGAAGGTTCTATAGTGAACATTCGGACCAATGAACCTTCGGACTATTGAACCTTCGGACTATCGCTACGGCCCCCTCAATATAACAATTGACCTCAAGTAACTGCCTCTCTATCAACTGGTAAACATCAAAGCACGTGACCATGAAAGTGATTTGATGGCTGTTTCTATTTCAATGGAATTTTTATCAAGGATCAAAAGGCATCTGACATTTTAATAACGACCTGTATTTTTTCCGTAAAGTAGATCAGATTTCACGTTTTTAACAAAATGTGAAATTTCCACTTTATTTTACAATGCCATAAATCAATAACATTTTCATATGTGATGTCGTCATTGGGCAGAACAGCAGCGAAGACACTGACATGTAATTCATTCCATATATATTAACACAAATCGATTAATGGACAATTATTCTCGAAATAAAATCACTTTGCACAATTTTCGCAGCATCCTACTTAATTGAAGGTTTTCAAATTAGAATAATGTTTCTTTATTTCAAGACACATGCTTTTACAAAAATATGAAAATTGACCAATTAAATATATAGCAGACCGTGTCTCGCCTTAAATATTTCAAAACTGGCCACCGGAACAAAACAATTTTACTTTACTTTAATAAATAAGGACAAATTTAAATTCTTATTTCAACATACTATTGATTTTCATAATGATTTTCTTTTGAATATGAATTTGCCCCATATAGTAACATAATCATCAAAATAATATACCGATTCAAACAAAAAAATTTTAAATGGACAACAGATTTATGCATATTTGGTTACTGTGAGCTTTTCTAATTCTAATATCATAAATTGTATCTATTATTAATTATCATAATATTTACAATTTCTATAATCTGTTTAAGTTGCGCCAATAATTTGCTCTGCGTGCTCTGAAGCAATCGTTATCAGTGAACTTTTATCTTAGACTCCATGGAGTGGGTCATCCCGAGCGCACATGACCTAGTTTCCTCTTGTGGTGCAATACCGTCGTGCTAACATTTAAAGTGAGGCACAGGCTTTGAGACCTGTAGTCGTCTTCCCACAGTAAGATGGAGGCTGGTGCGTCCATTGGCTGGCTGGCCCCGCCCACCTGGCTGTCACTGGTGATCTTAGCGGTGACGTTCATCATAATGTAAGTGAAATCCTCGAGGCACAATGGTATCAGGGTACAGTACGTGCTATGGAGACTTAGATTCTTCGAGCCATGCTAGCATGCCCATATGTGTAAAAGTTGTATCAGTTATAGAATAATATGTTGGGTTGATTGAAAAAAAAAATAACGATTGCGACTGAATTGCAAAAATACAGATCGCGGTTTTTGTGTAGGTACAGTACCTGTGCTATTGTCCCGGTCACTAGTGTCTGCATATATTACTTTAACACAGCAATGTGTGTTTTCATTTCGACCCACTTGTAATACCTAGATAAAAAGATATCTGAAGTCAGCACTGCAATTCGTAAGTACGTCAAGGACAGGCAGCGATCGCTCGAGCAGGCGTAAAACAGACATAAAACAAACTGAAAACAATTAAGAAAGTGTCAGATTTAAATGCGCTGATTTTAACACATGACAATGCTAATACAAAGGATACAAAGGAAAGATATAGTCAACCTGCATTGCATTTCCTGGAAATTAATTTCTAAGTAATTCTTTATTAATTGCCTAGGTAAACCCTATCCTAAACCTTTGAAAAAATTCGTTTTTGAGTTTTAAAACTCTAATGTTTTCCACTGATGTTTGGTACATATGCACAGAAATCAGAGAAATCTCTGTGAATATCTAGGGGGAAATCCTTTTTACTCCGCTACATGTAGGTAGGTTGTAACTGTTGGGATTCTGTAATTGTTAATTTCTTCGCTATACTAGTGCCAAATAAAGAAATGCGAAGCAAATGATGTGCAACATGTTGACATGCGTGTATGTGATGAGTTTGTGATCATGCTCGTTCGTTTTTCATTTGTAAATATACTCCTTTATCGACCAAAAGAAAAGTATGGGACTTGAAGGTCCTTTAGGTAACAGTTACTTTGAAGATGTAATATTTTTCAGCTACACCTATTGGGTATATGATAACAGGAGAAAATTCAACCTTCCCGGACCCACGCCGCTGCCTGTACTCGGGAACACCCTGGAAGTCATCAGTAAGGTAAAGTCTGGCTATTATTTATTTATTTTTTTTTACTTCATGGGGTTTTGTTTACAGCGAGTGTCTTACAACGGCGAAAAAAACCTTGTTTTAGTTATAGTTTGTTTTGTAGTGACGATGACAACGAGTTGGAACTTTCAAACACGTTTATTCACCGCGCGACCTTTCATACAAATTCAAGAGTACTTATGCTATACTTTTTGACCGTTGCCTAATACATTTGGTTACTCTGATATTGGGGACGATTTTTGTGGGATAAATGCATGGGAATGACTGTTCTCATTATTTTATTTTAATTCGGCAATGGCTGTATTCATTAATTTCGTAATGGCTCTATCCGTTATTTTCCACCTTAAATAAGATTGTTTTCAATCACTATACCTCCATTACCAGGTTAATGAGTAAGGTATCTCAATTTGGCCGTGCATATACAGTAAATGGAATTAAATATCATATTTCGTAACTTAATCTTTAACGTAATATCGATGAAGTCAGTGTTATCGTTTGTGTTTTTATAGGGTTTGATTGGATTCGATGCTGCCATGGTGCAAAAATATGGTAAACTTGTAGCGTAAGTCAGTTCTCATTTCCTTTGGGACACATACAGAACGACACAAAACTTTGTTATGTTTTATAGTAACATATTATAGATATCACCGAATAACAAATTGATTCCTATCATTCGTAAAAATATGATATGCGTTGTTTATTTCTAGATTTTAGTGAATAGATTCGAGTCCTATAAATCATTCCTCAAATTGTATTGAACAAGAGTTGAAAGTGTGCAGAAAAAGCTACTTTAAAATATGAAGAAAATGTATAGTGGGCAAAAAATATGATGAATTCTTTATTTAAGTTTCTTTAAAATAAGGTATGATGATATAATTGTAGCATAAACGGTAGCGGGCGTATTGGAGATATCCTTGTTGCCGACCTGGATATTTTAAAGGAAATCATGGTTAGACGGGCCAGTTCTTTCACGGACAGAAATGTAAGTTTTGGCTCATTTCCGATGTTTCTGCTAAAGTTAGGAGTTTTTATTCCATTTCAAACAAGATATTTAACAGTAGGGACGTTCAATTATATGATGACTGTGAGTAGAAAAGTTTTTAAAGAATGTAATAAAGGTGTGTTTAGCCTTTTCATATTAGAAAATTGTGTCACATTAATGACACACACATACATACATTGTACACACATTCAGAGAGAGAGAGAGATACCAAGATATAGGTTTATTCTATAGGAGGACCCAGCCCCGATGTTTGAACCTTTCAACCAGTCTCTAACGTTCTCCAAGGGAGAACACTGGAAACAAATGCGAAGCACCATCACTCCAGCATTTAGCTCTGGAAAGTTAAAACAGGTAAATACTAATACTACTACTAATTATTGTTATTTTTTATTTTTGCAACTTAAAGTTGAATTAAACATGTAATATTAAAAGTGGTAAAAGAAATAAAACGCACCATAAATTAATCCACTTAAAGCATAAAAGAATTTTTATGTACAGACACAGATGTGTCTGTACATATTGCCATCACCTGCGTCTGTCGTCGCCGTCGTCGCCGTCGCCGATGCCGGCGCCGTGCACTTTCCTTGTTAACACGATAAGTGGAGGGCAGTTTTACTTTTTGGCTTTATATTTATAGAGAGATGATGAATATTCATAAAACGCAGGTCAAGTTCGAAAATCAGCATGATCGGGCCATTATTGTAGAAGTTATGCTGTTTTTTCACTTTTTAGCATATATGCAACCCTGTTAACACATTTTAAGGAAAACCGATAGGCCTGTTGTCATGAAACTCACAGGAGTAATCAATCTTACTAAAACGCAGGTCAAGTTCGAAAATCGGCATGATCGGGCCACTATTTTAGTAGTTATGCTGTTTTTTCACTTTTTAGCATATATGCAACACTGTAAACACAATATAAGAAAAACAGATAGACCAATTGTCATTAAACTCACAGGAGTGGTCAATCTTACTAAAATGCAGGTTGAGTTTGAAAATTAGTATAATCGGGCCAT